TGTAGTGCTCTATGGACAATGCTTCCTCTATATTGCTCTATAACATGACAGTCTCTTCCTCCGTATTGCTCTCTTCAACTTGTAGGGTTCTGTAACATTATATTATATTCCCCTTGTAGTGCTCTGCATTATGACAGTTTATTTCCCTTGCAATGATGTGGAACATTGTATTCTTTCCTTCATGTAGTGCTCCGAGTATTGTAATCCAGTAAAGATGTTGGGGTTGCAGGTTGCTGAGGAGCGGTGGATGTAATATTTTAAACTAGCTTGGAAGTGGGGAGGGAAAAGAGCACTCTCTTGCAAGTTATAGACCAAATTTGCCATTAGGTTTGCTAAAATCATTTTCAATCATATGGTTTACTTACCAGGAATTTTTGTTTCTCAACCTACATACAGCTTTACTTTAAGAATGAACACTTAATTATGGCAACTCATTTGAATAAGGCTGACATGTGCTTTTCAGCTTCCTGCCTCACCTGCTAGCTTATAGGAGGCAGAATAAGCAGTAAGCATAATAGTGATGACGCTGTCTAAGGTTCTGAATACGTGGACATGGTTTTATCTTGGCTGAACTAAAAAACATCAACTTGAAAGTAGCACTTGACGCTCAGCTTCAGTCTTGTTCATGATCTTAAAGTAAATACTGGCTATAGCTTATATAAACCCTTTGAAGATTTCAGCAAGCTTCACAGTGTGTTTAAACATGCTAATGCGCAGTGAAAGCTTGTTTCAAGTTACATACAGTACTCCCTGTAGTGTAGTTCTAGTGAGCATTTTGTATATATTTAGAGTAGGGTAGTGTTAAATTTGCTGTCATGTTTTTATTGCTTTCCATGTCTCCCCCAGTAGGATTCACTCTATTTTCCTGGCAAGCACTGTTATGGGGGCACACAGCGATGTAAACCCCAAAGTTCTATGGTTGCCAAATGCACCAGAGATGAGGTAATTCTTCTGTTACCTGTTTGGGTGATAACTGTCTAAGAGCATTATTGGAGAGCATTCCTCTCATTTCCTGTTGTGCCTCTAGGACAGGAAATAAAGGAAATCTCCCTAATGGGACATAGAAAATGATAGGGATTGTAACCATTCCATACATTGTCCCCAATGAGACATACAAAATGATAAGAATTTTAACCATTTCATACTTTGTCCAAAACTATTTATAAATGTTTTCAAGCATGTTTCTAATTGGATTACATTTGAAAAATGTGTAAATCCTGGTGAAAGTTGTGTTAATCTTGTGTGAAAAAAATATATATACCGCAATTAAATTAGATTTTTTCAACAACCCAGACTAGAGCTGATGGTTGTTTCTGATATTTAGAGTAGTATACACCAGTTAAAATTAAACAATGCTCAAGAGTCTGTGACAGACGCACCTTATTGCGGTCCAGCAGCAGAGTCCGCCTGCGTCCTGCGCAGGCGCGTCATGGGGCTCCGCACCCTCTCGCTCGAGCTGTCGGCTTAAAGCCGCGGCTCACTATTTGATCGGCGTCCTACTGTCGATTGTAGCAAACACAGTGTCCCCTTCGCCTCACAATTGGACCCCTGATCTGTGGAACAGATCCACCTTCTACGAAGATCCCCTGAGTATATACGGTCTCCTAAACCGCAAGTACCTGGGTCAGAGTACATATGACCCCAGGGCACAGTTATTGTTCGCTAACGCCATTGACTTTGCATTGATAGCATTTATGGTTGCTGAACTCCATTTGACTCTGCATTAATAGCACTCGTTATTGCTGAACTACATAGACTCTGCATTGATAGCACCTGTCATTGCTAAACTCCAATTGACTCTGCATAGATATAGTTTGCTATTGTTAACTCCATTGACTTTGCATTGATAGCAATTATGGTTGCTAAACTACATTGACTCTGCTTTGATGACACTTGCCATAGCTGAACTCCATTCACACTGCATGGTATAAAGTACTGCTGCTAACCTCCATTGGCTCTACATTGATAATGTTGATGGTTAGTACCCTGTAATTGCCTGCATTCATACTGCTTCATGTGGCTGCATTCTCCTATTAACCCTCACAGTACCAACCAGGGTTTCACCATACCCCCAGTAGTCACCTCCTCAGTACAGCCTGTTGCTGTTCATAGCTATATACGGGGTATGATGAGAAGCAGCTCAATTTCCGCCTTACTCCATTACTAGACATTAGAGACCTAGCTGCAATCTGATTCCCGTCCAGACTCTGCAGTTGTGATCCATAAGTGAACCTCCCCAGAGGCGAGGCATTACAGAGTCTCAATGGCCAATGGGTAGGCAGATGACATAGCTCAGACAGGAAACAATGCTGTCACTGCCTCAGTTATGCAGCACAGCACATTTGTGTTATGCTGTGTAAATTGCAAGACTCGCTAAGCAGAGTTAAAAGAAACATGGCAGCTAAACAATTCACATAGATATATTACAAATCTTTTTTTACCTGTTTATCCCCAAAATTCGTCATAATAAACCCAAGTACAAAACAAATGATCAAATATAAAACGTAGTTTGTCAAATGCCTTTATTTTGGTGATTTTTTAACAAAACAAAACATTTTGGTAACTTTAGAAGCCAGCTGTTACATTGTGAGTAATACTGATATTTAATCAGAACCAAGGTCACTCGTAAAAAAAATGATAACATAAAATCCCTGCCTATTTCACTTAGAAATAACAAATATAAACAGACAAAGTAAATAAAAAAAAACAACACTGTGCATTGTCACTTCAGCCTTGCAATTAAATAAAGAAACGCCTTGTTATAGTCAACAGCTTTAGTTCTGAATAGGTGATATATATTTTACGATTACTCTAAGCTAATTGGAAATAAAGTAGTTTTTGACAGAAGGCTCAAAGCACAAATGTATTACATATCCAAATCAAACTTGAAAGTCTAACTTACAGTGGTAAACTACTATTGTTATTATAAAGGATTTGCAGAACAAAAACCTCATAATATAAAAAAAATTCATAGAAAAAAGGCAATCATGCATTTGGCAAAACAGTGTTTAAGACTGCAGGATACATGTAGTAAAATGAGCATGAGTATCATGCCAACTAAAACTTGAGCCTGTGCTTAGTGTTCTGCTAAAATAGGATGGATCAGTTTTATAAGAAAACCTAGCACTGCAAGCCCCACATTCTGGATGAGTGAGCAACAGATTTATGAACCGCAAGGCCTTCCTTACAGTGTTTAAGTCCAGTTTTAGATTCTTTAACGGAACCAGAGGTACAAGTTCTCATTCTGTCTCTTCTTACTGCACACTGCAATTGATAGCAAGAGATATTTGCACCCTGTTCTTGGATATTGTATGACGGCACTTAGTACTAGGAATGTGGACAGCAACATATGTACTCGTCCCGGGCAGCTTAAAGGAATTAAAGCCTCTTTGTCAGACACCCATATACATTCTGTGCTCGGTTAAAAAACAGTAATGCATCACATTTTAGCATTTTACTTTTTGTATTAAAAAGCTCTAAAGTAATCACCGATTAATAAACAAATGATTACATGAATGAAAGCACATTGAGATATTTTAATGCATGTATGAAATACAAAAAGAAAAAAAGAATAGAAAATAAAGACAGGGGTACACAGAAGTATCTGAGCTTTCATTCTCAATAGTTTCATAAAGACCTCTATGATATTATCTCTATAAAGATAAAATAACTCTATCCATTCAGCTAACAAGGTTGTGCTACCAATGAGAAAAGAATACAATTTGAGATTTCTTTAAAATAAATTGAAACATTGCACTATTACTGGACCCAGTTGTATAATACTGTGTTTACCATTCACACATGAACTGAAATATTGAAGCACAACTTTAAAATGATGACTGAACAATACAAAAGAAAAATAATAATTTATAGATAGACAAAGTCAGAACAAACACATTCATTAATTTCAGAAGTGTCAGTAACACAACATTTTCATACCTCCCAACTACCCATAATTTGGAAAGTCAGTTGTGATTTCTGAGCCCAGAAGAGTGGTGGGCATTATTAGATCATATATATTGCTAAGTAATGGAGACTCCTGGATAGGGAAGGACTTAAATGTCCAAAAAAGGTTATATATTTTAAGATGTTGGGAGGTATGTATTTCAGAGCAATGTGTGTTTATCATCATTCACTTGTTTTCTCCTATTTTACTGTTTCAACATATACATCACTGTAACACAAGCTGAACCACATCTCCACGCCATCCACTGTTACACAACTATCGTGTAAGGTCACATTAACAATTACCATACCATACTGAATGAACAGCTTTTCTTTATGATATTATGTTCTTCTTCATTCATGAGTGATTAGACCAGAGGGCTGTGTCTATAAGAACATTGATAAACAAAATCCTAAAAAAAAAACAATTCTGGCTTAACAGACATGACCAATGCAGGTTCATTCTGGAAATGTCACAAATATGAGTCATGGCACAATGTGGGCGGCTTTTCTACATTTTCACGTTGAAGACATAATAAAGTATTAAAACCCAGATCTGTACATGAAATTTAAATTTACAATAGCTTTTTAACATATGTAGCTGGTTGGCTTGCTTCATCTGAAATAGTATTTTGAGTGGAAAGCTTGGGGAATCCCATTGCCAGCAATGGGTGTTGCAAAGCACCGCTAGCATTTTTAATCTCTTGAAACATATGTATAATGTTTTGCTATAGCTATATACTGTATAAATTAAGTAAATATTCAAAATGCTTTCTCTTTAGGAGCAACCTGTGTTAACTTTATTGAAATAAATAAAAGCTTTATCAGATATTTATTGATAGAGATACAATGGATTGTGGTGATGTTTCATAGAATAACCATACCAAATATGGCTATCATTTTTCTTTGGAAAATAAGTCAAAGACTTGATTGGCTGCTGTGGACAATACGTTCAATTTCCATTGCACCAATTTGTATCATCATTTTCTTGATAGTGTCTTTTACATGTTACAAGTTTGGCAGGAAGAATTTTAACTGTAATAGAAAAGTGTTTCTCCTGTACTTACCTATGTAAGTTTATTATTCTCCAGTCTGTTGTTAGAGACAATTTATATTAATGCTTCAGTGTCAAACCTTGATACCTGTTCCTTCCAACGTTTCCATGCTCCAAAAAGTATCTTACTTGTATTGATCACATGGCTTCATAGGTTCCCCTATATTATATATATCTAGGTGCTTTTAAATATTTCAGATTTTACTACTTTTCTTAAGCACAGCTTATTTGCTATACATATATTTTACATTCATAAGTGGGCCATTTATTGCACTATTTACACCGTGTCACAACAACTGCGTGTGCAAAATTTCACATAATAGAAATAGATCACTCTGGATTTTATCCCATGCCTGCACCTGAAACCACTCACTGATATGTGTACATTTCAGAGTTCTTATATTCAGTTGTCATATTCAGCATACTGAATCTACATTCATTTGTTGAAGACATGAAGTTCTGTCTATTACAATGACTGTTTTTGATCTGACTGTATGTCCAGAGGACTCGCCAAGGCTCGATTAAAAATAACAAAAATATGCAGCACACAAAACAGTTAATACAGACAGATGTAGTTACTCTTACACATACCATATACAATGTTTGTATCTCTAGTATATTTCACAATTTGTTATTAAAGTTGAATCACCTATGGATGGTGACTTCAGTTCCACTGTACAGTCTACATTATTGTAATTTAACACTGTAACTTGCCCCATTTGATCATGCAACTGTCACAGATTGGCGAAAGTGTTTCATAAGGCATATCGGAACAAGTTAAAAATCATCTATTATCCTTGAAAACAATTCCTCGGAGGAGTTCCTGAATGCCTTAATTCCTATTTAAAGTCCATAATAACTCTGTTGGGTATATATATGTTTTACATTTTTAACTTTTTATTTTTTTGGGCTTAAGATGTTATCACAATAGTCAGAGAATGATGGTATCCTCCAGAGACGAGAAACGAGTACACTGCACTCAGACCTACATTCAGAATTCAAGGTAAAATAGGAGGCCAAGTGTTGGTAGCAGTATACCAAGGATACTGGGTAATATTCCTGCGGTGTCACCTGTAATGAAAACAAATGAAAATTTATTATCTTAATTATGTTAACCACAAGCCTTACTCACCAACATTATTTTCTTGTAGTATAGCACTATCTACCCGTGGTAGTTAGCCTTTCCATAGGAATGAAGATTGTGCTGTGCATGTGTGCAAGAAGAGCTGGGACTGGAGACTTTTGAAGTTATGTTGCTCCCAGTGAGCCAAAAAAGAAACAAGGATTTTTGCTTGGAAATGATTGGATGATTGTAGCCAGCACAGCTTCCTCTTATCCACTAAGAGAATTTTCACTTAGTATATGCGGTGAAGCTGTGCTAAGCTTTTTATCTTGCATATGATTGGGTATTCCTTGCTAAGTGAATTTTCATTTCATTCAATACGCTAGGTATTCACTTTGCAAAGCAAACATGCTCTACTCCTTTAACCACTTGCTGCCTGGAGCAATTTCTTACATTTGCACACACATGATAAAATCAGAATTTGTGGTTAGAAAACAGCTTCAGACCCCCAAACATTTATATATTTTCTGAAAGCAGAGGCCCTGTAGATTAAAAAGATGCTAGTTGCAATTTTGTATGTCACACGGTATTTGCGCAAATGTTTATCAAACAAGTATTTTTAAGATAAAATACATTACAATTAAATTTAGTGCACAGAAACAGAATATAATGCCCACTTTTTGGTAAAATATAAAAGATGGGGTCACGCTGGGTAAATAGATACCAAAAAATGTCAAGCCTTAAAATTGCGTGCATCCATGAAACCGCAAAAAACTACAATAACCAATATTTCCCATAGGCGACACTTTTACGGCTCATTAGTGATTGATGGGCCGAGAATTATTCCTCTCACCACGACGCTCGCGATGATATGTAACATGTGTGGCGCAATGTTTGTTTTTGCGTCTATGGAGAGATCAGGGGTCTTTCAGACCCCTAATGTCACATAGGGACACCAAAGAAGCTGATGAAGATCTGCTTCATCAGCTTCTTCTTCTGGCTCGAGGAGCCAGAGAATGTGTCCAGTGACACCGGCAGTGATGTAATACAAATCACTTCCGGGTCCAGTGACCCTCCACGCCGGTCCCAGGCTCACGCACGGGACAGTGGCGGTACCAGCGGCAGCAGGGGGGGGCACAACACAGCGATCCGACGCGTGTATAGACTCCAGATCGCTTGTATTTAAACAGCAATCGCCAACTGTTTAAAACGGTACCAAGAACACTGCTGCTGGAAGTGGTTAATAAATCAATGAATTTATTGCAATGTACAGTGCTTTGTTCAGCATTTACTGTTGATTTTATTATGTTTCAATCACAGTGCAAACAGAGCTTGGCTGGTTTACTAAAGAACAACAAATACAGTGTGGATAATCACTCAAATATCCAGTCATGTGCAGATGAAATAAGTGAACAGGAATTTGCTGTTCACATGATTGGACAGTTGAAGTGAATATTCGCACAATTTTGTGTGTGAAGATTCTCAACTCCTTTAGTAAATCAGCTTGCCGTGCTGGGTTACAACCGCCTTTATCCCAAACAAAAGCATCTAGCATTGTAAAAGCATCTCAAGAAAATGTAAGCTAGCTATTTGACATCAGCTTTAGTTTTCAAGAGGAACTGTACTGTAAATAGCCTCAGTCCTTTTCACACCCACCATTGTTAAAAACACTGCGCTTTGTGCTTTTATTTTAAACAGATGATTTTATGGGGCATATCTTCACATTTATTCTGCTTTATAATGTGAGCTTTGTAAAGCATATTTTTTGAGGAAAAAAAACCTTACTAGTAGAAAGCTTGATGGAAGCAACAGCACCATCTCCTCCTTCACTGTGGGCTCGGACCTCCACAATATAGTCTCCCTCCTTTAGAACTGGCAACTCTACTGAATGATGTCCAGTTGAATACAGCTTACCATCATTTTGTCCATTTGGCCTATACAAAACCTTGAAAAAAAGAAAAAGGAGTAAGGAATATATATATATATATATAT